CCATAGCTTTACCACTCCTATTTCCTCACTATCACATAAGGTGGACAGCTGTTTCAGACAACTGCAGAAACTAGATATATTTACATATGTATATAAATGTATGCTATGGCCAAAAAAAAAAAATTGTCCTGAATAGAATTAAATTTAGATGTAGCTATATCTGTTAATCAAGGCTTAAGAAAAGAAATGTTTCAGTGAGAAAAAAAATGATATGTAGTGCAAAGGACAAAATCTCATTTCTGAAGCATGAGTCAAAGAATTCATTTGTTTTTTTTTAAGATTCTACTACTGAGTTAGGCACTGTTCTAGGTGCTTTGGCTAAATCAGTGAATGAAATAAAGATTCTTCGCAATGTGAAATTAATCTTGCAGTGATGAAAGATGTTCTAAATGATATACAAAACATTGTAAAGGATATTTGTAAGCATGTAGAAGAAGAAAAGAGTTTAGAAAAAGTAATGGTAGAATAGGGAAATGAAGACCGAGTGGGCAAGAGTTGAGTTAGAAATTTAAATAGTTTGGGTCATGTGGGGTGGCTCACACCTGTAATCCCAGCACTTTGGGAGCCTGAGGCGGGCAGATCACTTGAGGCCAAAAGTTTAAGACCAGCCTGGGCAACATGATGAAACCCCATCTCTACTAAAAACACAAAAATTAGCTGGGCGTGGTGGTGCATGCCAATCCCAGCTGCTCAGGAGGCTGAGGCAGGAGAATTGCTTGAACCCAGGAGGTGGAGGTTGCAATGAGCCGAGATTCTGCCACTGCACTCCAGCATGGGTGACAGAGTGAGACTCCATCTCAAAAAACAAATACCAAAACAACAAAGAAATGTGGGGACTTGGGGTTACCAAAAGTGATACAACTTTGGCCGACATAAAATTTTGCTAGTTTTAGTAAAACGAGGCTGTTGACTACAATGAGTAGTCAAGGATATGTCTATACCTACCAGTTTACTGAATTTGGGATTTTCCTGGGAAATCTCAAAATTGCCTTAATTGTGTTAATTTGAAATCTGTCCAAAATTAACAGATACATTGAGACATCAAAGATGTCCTGTGACCTAATTTTTGGAACTGCCAGTAATACATGAAGACCTTTGCTTCTTCTAGAGACATAAAAATTAGTTCTCAAAAACCATTATTTTAGATTAGGCCCTTCCTTGGTCCATGTAGGTCAAGATCATATTTCTGCTGGTAAATTTTAGTTGTAGCCTGAGGACACATTCTAAAGATATGATTTCATATCAATTATAACATGCTGCATTTTCCTACAATAACACTTTAGATATTTATAACTTATTTTATCGAAAACTGTTATGAACTAACTTTTATTATCAGACCTTATCCACTTTTGGTGAATCCACTTTTCTCCTGCCTGTAAATCCAGAACTTTCAAACTTCAACAAGTTGCCTGAATTTACTCCTCCCCCACATCCCCACATGTCTAAGGTTCATAGATAAGTCAAATTTTTAATATTTGTTTTAATTCTTTCCATACCTTACATATTGCAGTAATTTTCATCAAATTCTCTTTTTAATTCTCAAGAGCCATAGTTATTTTTAGTGTTTTCATATGGCATTTCTGTACTCTTTTTTACATTTTATTTATTTATTTATTTATAGACATAGTTTTGCTCTGTCACCCAGGCTGGATTGCACTGGCACAATCTTGACTCACTGCAACCTCTGACTCTCTTATTCAAGCAATTCTCCTGAGTCAGCCTCCCAATAGCTGAGATTACAGGCACATGCCACCACACCCAGCTAATTTTTTGTATTTTTATAGAGACAAGCTTTCACCATGTTGACAAGAGTGGTCCTGATCTTCTGACCTCATGATCCACCAGCCTCAGCCTCCCGAAGTGCTGGGATTACAGGTGTGAGCCACTGCACCCATCCATATTCCTGCACTATTAATCATTTGAAATATCTCTATATTAATCCTCCCAAGCACCACTGCATTTATGCACTGGGTCCCTAGCCTGTGTCTGATAAACACATGTTATTTATGTTTTCTCCTCATCAGTGGCTTGTCCTTTTTCATTTTATTTTGATCAAGTCCAATTTGTTATATTTTTACGTTTTGTTGGTTCAGTGTTTTATACATTATCTAAAAGAATTTTGGTGAATTCAAGGTTGCAAAGATATTTCAACTATTTATTTCTGTAGAACTTTCATGGTTTTAGTTTTTATATATAAGTTTATAAGCCATTTCAAATTAATTTTTAGTATATTGTGATGTGGGTCAGTATTCTTTTTTCACGTAGAAAAAAGCATCATTTGCTGAATACATGTAGTGTATCTACGATAACATTAGATTTCTCTTCATGAAAAAGGGCAAAGTGTTTTGGATGCTTGTATTCTCAATTAACATTGTTTTTTGTTTGATTTTGCACTGTAGTTTGCAAACAATTTCATGCTTATGATGTCTAAAGTATTCTAATAATCTTGTGAAGTAGATGTTCTTAGTTGATAGGTGAGGAAATTAAGGAGTTAAAAGACTTACTGAAGATATTACGCACACACGCACGCACGCACACAAATGCACTCACGCACACATACAGGGACAGAAAAAACACTCAAGCCTAGATCATTACACTTTACTTCAGTACTTTGTAGTTTTCATTTCCAAAAAATTTTTAAAAATTAAAAAAAAAATACCTTAATAACAAAGTAGACTCAAGCAATGTCCTGAAAACAACTTGAGGCATAGCACAAAGCAACCGCTGATTTTTCACCAGAGATTTGTGTTTTATCTTTTATAATGTGCATTTTGTATTCCTGCACATGATGTTTGCAAAGTTGACGAGATACCAAAATAAAGTGTTATATTGTATATCATCAACTAAAATAGCTGTTACAGATAAATGCAACACGTTTCTCTATAATATTACTGCCAGCTCCTCCTTTGCCCAGGCCCTGCTCCTTCCCAGATATGTATAACCCATTTTTAAATACTCCCATATTGATTCTTACCTGCAGGCTCCTTAGAATTAGTTAGTGTTATTAGCAACATTCCTTTGTTAAAACAGAAGCAATTGTACTATCTATATACCAAGGTAAATGGGATGCTGGAGACAAGTTTCCATCCTCCAAAGACAATAGGCTTTGTACTGTTCCGAAAAATCAGAGGTTATTACCTAGTTGTTGGGTATTTTTTCTTGCTATTCAATCAATAGTGTATATAAGAAGGCATTCTGGGAGAATGAGAGTAATCTAGAGACTATGGAGTTGAGGACGATTTTTTGGGGGGCTGCAAAGCCAGGAGATAAAAGCTTCCCAAATTATATTCAAATGCAGTAATATATTTTTTCCTTGACAGTATATAATGTTTGCTTTAGAAGATACACTAAGAGAGGTATCTGTTAAAGATTTTCCATAAAATATATTAGCCATATACAGAAAAATGAAACTGGACCTATATCTCTCACCACGTACAAAAATTAGCTCAAGATGGATTAAAGACTTAAGTCCGGAAATGGTAAAAACCCTAGAAGAAAAACTCTTCTGGATATTGGCCTAGGCAAATAATTTGTGACTAAGACTTCAAAAGCAAATGTAACAAACAAAAATAGGCAAATGGGATAAACTAAAAAGCTCTGCACATAAATAATCAACAGAGTAAACAGACAACCTACAGAATGAGAAAACACTTGCAAGCTATGCATCATCGAACAAAGGACTAATATCCAGAATCTACAAGGAATTCAATCTCAATGAGAAAAAAGCAAACAACCCCTCAAAAAGTGGGCAAAAAACATGAACAGACATTTTTCAAAGAAGACATACCAATGGCTAACAATCACATAAGAATATGTTCACCACGACTAATCATCAGAGAAATGTAAATTAAAACTGCAGTAAGAGATCACATTACACAAAGTCAAAATGGCCATTATTAAAAAGTCACAAAACAACAGGTACTAGCAGGGATGTGGAGAAAACGGAATGCTTATGCCCTGTTGGTGGCATGTAAGTTAGTACAACCTCTATGGAAAAGCAGTATGGATATTTCTCAGGGTTAAAAATAGGACAACCATTTGATCCGGCAATCCCACTACTGGATATCTACTCAAAGGAAAATGTATTGTTATTATTATTTTTTGAGATGGAGTTTCACTCTTGTTGCCCAGGCTGGAGTACAATGGCATGATCTCAGCTCATCCAACCTCCGCCTCCTTGGTTCAAGTGATTCTCCTGCCTCAGCCTCCCTAATCACTGGGATTACAGGCATGCACCACCACACCCAGCTAATTTTGTATTTTCAGTAGAGACAGGGTTTCTCCATGTTGGTCAGGCTGGTCTCAAACTCCTGACCTCAGGTGATCCACATGCTTTGGCCTCCCAAAGTGCTGAGATTACAAGCATGATCCACCATGCCCATCCCATATTATTATTAAAAGACACTTGAGCTTGTATGTTTATTGCAGCAATATTTATAATAGAAAGTCATGGAATCAACCTAAGTGTCCATCAACAGAAAATTGGACAATGAAAATGTGATACACACACACACACACACACACACACACACACACACACACACACACCATGGAATACTACTCAGCGATGAAAAAGAACAAAATCATGTCTTTGGCAGCAAATGGATGAAACTGGAGACCACTATCTTAATTAAAATAGTTCAGAAGCAGAAAGTCAAATACGACATGTTCTCACTTATAAGTGGGAACTAAACAATGCATACACATGGCCATACAGAGTAGAATAATAGACACCGGAGACTTGTAAAAGTAGGAGCTTGGGAGGGGGTGAGGAATGAAAAATTACCTGTTGGGTACAATGTACAACATTCAGATGATAGGTACATTAAAAGACCAGACTTCACCACTACACAGTACATGCATGTAACAAAACTCCACTTGTACCCCCTAAGCCTACAAAAAAAAAATTTAAAGATTCTCCATGAAAAGTGATAGCTAGCTTTTAATATCTATACAAATTTGGTATATCAGTTAATAATATTCCTCTTTTTATGTTGCAGGAGCGGGAGAATCTGGGAAAAGTACTATTGTTAAACAAATGAAGTAGGTACATAACTGTCTCAAATGTTTAATATTTGATGTCTGTCCATGTATTTGACCATTCTTAAAATACATGCTTTTGTAAATGCTGATTGACAGTCTTTTCTAAATCATGAGTCACAGCAGAGTGGTCGTAGTTCCTGTGCAAATATACCTTGTATTCTTTAGCAGAAAATGTTGCAGATGAATAATATTATAATTTCCATTTTTAAAAAATGTGCCTCTCAACAAGACAAATGTTTAAAGCATTATATTTTAGTTATATTAATCTGGGAATATCAAGGGCTTTATAATGTGAGCATCAACTGTAAATATTTAAAAATATGTCAATCAATGATCCATTTGAATCTTTGAGAAAACATTATTTTTAATCTCATTGGCATCTTGCCTAGCTGAGAATGAAATGCTTAATCACTATCATGAATTTTGAGGTATTTTTGCATTTCCTTTCTCTTTTTCCTTTTTAAAATGAAATAACTAGACCTGAATTCCTTAATATGAAAATAATAAAAACAAAAATGCCATAATTCAAGAATGCAATGTCCACCTGAACAAAATGGTAACTGATAAGCAAAGGTAAATAGGTGAAACCTCCTGGCTCTGTTACTGCTAGAGAATTTTAAAGGATAATTGTTGCTAAAAAGAAGTAAAAGAAGAAGAAACAGAAGCATCAGTAATAGCAGCAGAAGGAGAAGGAAGAAAGGGAAGGAGAAGGGAAGAGGAGGCGAAGGGAAGAGGAGGAGGATGGAAGAGGAGGAGGAGGGAAGAAGAGGAGGAGGGAAGAGGTGGAGGAGAAGGGAAGAAGAGGAGGATGGAAGAGGAGGAGGAGGGAAGAGGAGGAGGAGGGAAGAGGAGGAGGAGGGAAGAGGAGGAGGAGGGAAGAAGAGGAGGAGGGAAGAGGTGGAGGAGAAGGGAAGAAGAGGAGGAGGAGGAGGGAAGAAGAGGAGGATGGAAGGGGAGGAGGAGGAGGGAAGAAGAGGAGGATGGAAGAGGAGGAGGAGGGAAGAGGAGGAGGATGGAAGAAGAGGAGGAGGGAAGAGGAGGAGGAGGGAAGAGGAGGAGGAGGGAAGAGGAGGAGGAGGGAAGAAGAGGAGGGAAGAGGAGGAGGAGGGAAGAAGAGGAGGAGGAAAAAGCAGGATGAAGAAGAGGAGGACCATTTTTGAGTATATTTTTAAGTTATGTATTAAAGGATCTTGTTCTTTGGGACATACTTTATGAGGGACATACTTTATATCTGCCAGTCAATAATGGAACTGGTTTCAGTCTAAGCCACTGTTTTTCTTTTATGTAATAATATCATGTAAGTTTCATATCAACCAATATTTAAGCTTCACTTATCTGCAACCAAACGTTTGATCTTTCCTACTGTCTCTGAAGAATAGAGCTCCTTTATCCTCTTCCCTGGGATTGTACTATTTTTGAGATTTCAGGTCCATCCTTACAACTAAGTCATCTGGCATTCATTTATAACATTATCACAGTGTCTGCCTGATCTTGTCTCCCAGGCTATGACCATGCTTGAACCTCTCTTATCTTTTTTCATTTCTCCATTCTCTGTCAGCTTAAGTTAAAAAAAAAAAAAAAAGACCCATTATTTGGCTATGTAAAAATTAAAACTTTTAAATATAGTAAACCATAAAAAAATTAAACTAAAATTAGAAAACTGAAAAAAATTATAATAAATATGATAGATAAATAATTGGTGACTAATATACAAAGTTCCATAGATTGCTAAGTAAAACAATAAGCATCCCAATACACATAAATGGGGATAGGCTATGAACAGAGAGTTCACAAATGACAAAATTCAATAGATAATGTATTTTAGGATAACCTCATTAATTATAAAGTTAAAAATCAATCAATGAGGTAATTTTTCATTGCAGTAAATTGACAAACAATAATTTAAAAATAATATTACCTACTAAGAATGAGGTTTTGAGAACTGGGTATTTTTAATTGTTACTTATAAAATTATATGTTACTGAAAATTTATAAAAATAATTTTAATATACATAGTAAGCTGGGAAAATTGCAATTATTGATCTTCTAAATATGCTTCTGATAATTCTCAAAAATAAAATATCAAAATATGCAAAAGTGTGAAAATAAAGTAATTTAAAAATATAAAATATAAAAGCCTGTATAAAGACTTATATCCTTATTTAAGATAATGAAATTTGGGATAGAATAAAGTACCACAAATTAAAATGAAACATAAACAATTAGGTTGCAAAGTTATAGGACTATTCATTCTTCAATTGCCATATTATATAGCTATTACAAATCATGTATTAATCTCAAGTACATGAGAAGGTTTTAATATGAGAAAACGCTATGTTAACTAAAAAACCAGGATACAAAATTGCATGAACATTTTATTTTTTATTTTATTTATTTGAGAAATGGTCTTGCTGTGTCACCCGGACTGCAGTACAATGGCACAATCTTGGCTCACTGCAACTTCCACCTCTCAGATTCAAGCAATTCTCCTGCCTCAGCCTACCAAGTAGCTGGGATTACAGGAGCCTGCCATTATGCCCAGCTAATTTTTTTTTGTTTGATTTTTGTATTTTTAGTAGAGATGGGGTTTCACCATGTTGGCCAGGGTGGTCTCAAACTCCTGACTTCAAGTGATCCACCTGCCTCAGCCTCCCAAAGTGCTGGGATTATAGCTGTGAGCCACTGCACCTGGTGCATGAACATCTTAATCTCAAGTATGATCGAATAGATACAATTTTTCTCTCAATAGTGGAATTTACAGTTTAAAGCACCTTTGCTTTTAATATTGTTAGGCTTTTCACATTTTCTACAATGAGCACTTCTTTCCTTTATAATGCAAAAAGAGCAAGTCTTCTCATTCTGCCTTATCTTTCCTTTTCTCAGTAGAATTTCTGCAAAGAATAATCAAAGTTAGCTCTCTTTACTTATTTGCATCACACATTTGCCTCTGGTAAGTTGTGGAAGTTGCCCTTACAAAGATTATTTCTTATATCATCTCTGAATAGCCATTTTATATGAAGTCTTCTTAAGTCCTTACATTAATTCCACATGATATCACATCTCCCTATGAAAACTTTTCTTCAGCTTCTAGAACTCTTTCCCAGTTTGTCTAACTCTATCTCCTTTATTCTTCTAACTCTATCTCTGACTACATTTAAAATGTTCGTGTATCTGATGTGCCAGGAGACACTAGTACTTCTCTTACTCTGTACCTTCATGAAATGAAAACTACTGGATTTCTATGATTTTCACTAGAATCTTCAAGCAGACTGTTTCAGAATATTTCTTTCAAACTCACACATTTTGTCTAAACTAGGGAGGCAGATACATCTACTGCTATATTATCTGGCTAGGTCCAAATCAGAATAAACAAATTTATCTCTCATCTGGCCTCTATTGCCCTAGCATTAATTACAACAACACCAGCCTACAATGCAATAAATCTCAGTGTAGTTATGCTAACCCTTCACCCCTTCACTAAGTCATGCCACATCTACATAATTTGTCTCCAACACGCCAATGATCTCCACTGCTTTACTTCAAAACTTCATCATTTCTGACCTAGTTTATTTCAGTATCTTCCTAAGGAGCTTCTACCTCCCTTCCCTTCGCGTCATCGCATTATCTACACTGCCATGAACTGATTCATTTAAAGCTGATTGTATCTCCTTGAATTCAACTCTTCACCCGTGTTATCAAGATCAATTTCCTTGTCCTGGCACACAAGACACTGGAGTCCAATTCTTGCTGATGTTTTTATTCTACTGTCCTGCAATTTCTTCCCTCCTACTTCCTGCTTCACTAATGCTGACCTTTTATAAGTCTGTAGACTAGCACATTATAGAAGGCTGAGCTTTGGGACTAAGATCATGGGCTGAAATCAGATTGTGTTTGTGGCCCAGCTGTAACACACAACAACTGAATAAGTTGGGGGTATTGCTGACATTTCTTATTTATAAAATGTAGATCGTAATTACTAAGAAGACAGATGAGGCACATACAACAGTGCTTGGCACATATTGAATGTTTGATAATTGTAAGCATCTATTGGCTCATACTGATCTTTCTGCCTAGCATGATTCTCTCTCCTTTTGACCATCTAGGAATAACTCTCCTTGAACAATCAGCTGATTATCACTGCTTCCAGGATGTCTTCTTTGATCTTTATAACCACTTCTAATAGAGTTTATCACGTTTTCTTTTCTATAGCGTCTTACTACCATTATCATAATGTTCACAAATCTCTTTATATGCTCTGCCTTCTTATAACCACTACTCTTCAACAGAACTTTGTGTGGTGATAGGAAAGTTCTCTAGCTTGCCTTGAAATATGGCAACTGCTAGCCACACGTGGCTTTAATAGCCACTTGTAATGCTGACAGTGTGATTGAGAAACTAAAATTTTGCCGGGCGCGGTGGCTCACGCCTGTAATCCCAGCAATTTGGGAGGCTGAGGAGGGTGGATCACAAGGTCAAGAGATCGAGACCATCCTGGTCAACATGGTGAAACCCCGTCTCTACTAAAAATGCAAAAAATCAGCTGGGCATGGTGGCGCGTGCCTGTAATCCCAGCTACTCGGGAGGCTGAGGCAGGAGAATTGCCTGAACCCAGGAGGCGGAGGTTGTGGTGAGCCGAGATCGCGCCATTGCACTCCAGCCTGGGTAACAAGAGCGAAACTCCGTCTCAAAAAAAAAAAAAAAAAAAGAGAAACTAAAATTTTAATTTTATTTAATTTTAATTAATCAGCCAGTGACTAACATATTATACAGTGGAGCTCCAGTCTATGGTTTTGGAAAGAAGGATATTCTTTAACACATAACATAGTATGTCACAGAAAATACCCAGTAAAAGCCTATTAATTTCAAAGACCTAGGAAGCATCTTTGGAGTTGGAGTGCTCTATCTCACAGAAATTTACATATGCAGCTCATGGAAAAAATGATGTTTGTTTAAAGTCCCACTTCAGCTGGACATCTTTACATCTGTTTTTATTATTTTGCTTTGTGATAAATCCCTCCTCATCTTCTGATAACAGTCAGAACTTGTTTCATGAAGAAAACCAATGTCCATGTTTACTCACAGTTGCCATTTTAATTTAATAATTAATATAATTTTCCAAGTTCAATTTGACAGAAAACTGGGATTTCTTTAATAAGCTTATTCCTGATCTATCCATAAAGATATTTTACTGCATTTTCTACAGCCTTTGTCTGTTTATTTATTTACTTATTTTAGTGACTTAATGGTTTAAGGCAGCAGGACAAACATAATCATGTTTAAAGTAGAAATTCAGAAATGATTGGTAATCAAATATAAAAAAAAACATATAATAAGCATAGGCCCTGCCTTTACTCCTTTCAGTTCAGATTTCTTGAATATGAAGGTTCTAATAACTTCAAAGACATTAAAGATGCGTTTGTGTTCTTCCTCCCGTGCTAAAGCCTTTATACGTGTAGACACAATATAAATCTTTAGTAGGATGACATCCAAAAAGATGCCTAATTAATACAAAGCACTTCAAAACAATAAGAAAAAACAAAAAGGAACAAAAACATATTCTGCAATAAAAATGCAAAAATACATAACTGGCACATGTAATGATTTTAGCTTTTGATAGGCGAATCTATTTTAAGTGATTATTCCAAAACTACTAGTAAAATCTTGATTTTGACTGAATGAGTGGAAGGTAGAGAAGAGTTCAGCCAAATAAAATGTCGAGCGTTTCAACTTTTATAACTCAGTGGCACGTACACAGATGGAGAACTGTCAAGAGATTTAACAGAGGGCAATTACCTGTACTAAAAAAATGCCTTTGTTAATGCTGTAAATAGAAAGCAGGCACTCCTATTTTTCCAGAATGATAGGAAAAGACATGAATGATCTAAATGACTTCACTTCCTCTAGACATCAGGTTGTAAACACAAGGTCAACTTTCAGAACTCTGTATATATCTTTGTCCTGGGAATCTAGAAATTTTTCTCTTAAAAAAAAAAAAAGAGCTTTCAAAGTATAATGTTTATGATTTCCCGTTTTTAAAAAGTATTTTTAAATAACAAATCCTATGTACTTTTATATTTATCATGGGTAGCCGAGAAAGAAAATATTGTATAAATGACAATGATAATAGAAGTCCAAAGGCATGAAACTGTTCAGATTTAGCATATACATATGGTCAAAATTCCTTTTTAATGAATATATACTATAATTTTATTCAAGAAATTTATTTTGATGTCCTTTAGTGTTACAAGCAATTATTCAACTCACAAAACTTTTCATGTTTAAATTATAGGATCATCCATAAGAATGGTTACAGTGAGCAAGAATGCCTGGAGTTCAAAGCAGTAATTTACAGTAATACATTGCAATCCATCCTAGCTATTGTGAAAGCCATGACTACCCTTGGGATTGATTATGTAAATCCCAGAAGTGCAGTAAGTATGCAAATAAAGACAGCTGTAAGTCCTGCAATAGAGGTTGGGCCATAAAATAATAGGACTTGATAAGTTCATAGTATTAATCTATATCCAACATTTTAAAATATGAAATATGAATTTTGAAGCATTAATTCCATTTAGTGTAAGATTTCTTATTTTCCTTGAAGTGAAACTTTTTACTGAATAATATATTATTCAACATTAGTTGTTTTTCTGAGGATTAAGCTTAATATCAAATAATACACTATAACAAATAAAAGTATTGCTTATGCTTGCTAAATACAAAAGGGTTATGGCATAAACACAATTTGCAATATCTCTAGATTAATTTTTGTAGTTATGAGTCATTTCAAAGAGACTAGCTGTTGCTTAATAATAACACAACAATTATGATTAATGTTTGATGATGATTACAAAGTCTGTGACAACAGGGAAATGCTTATTTTATAATGCTAAGTTTTTTTTAAAAATGAATTCAAATTGTAGGAGTAAGCAAATATTTGTATATTAAGTATATTCAAAGTACTCATAGTTCTATTTGTAAGGTAGAAACAAAATAATTTTATCTTCTCCCTACTTTATATTTTGCTATATAATAATTTTACATTAAAATATATTTGAAATCCATTTATTTTGAAAGTTTATATCCAAACACATAAAATTACTTGGCAAATGAAACTTACAGTATTATCCAAAGAACCATAGTTGACCCCACCCAAAAAAAGAGTAACTGAGTAGAATCCACAAGAAGAACTCACCCATTTCCATATGTCTCCTCCAGGAGCAGCTGGGCATCTGGTTACCTCCAGAGGATGCCAGTTGAATTCCTACCAATGTAATTCCTGGAAACCTTGCTATAGGAACAATAAAAATAGAGAGCAAAAGTATAGTAAGGATGAAGGAAGAGGAGTCATTTGAACTCCCTCGCCCAGTTTAGTGGACCTGGTAAATGGCCACTGGACGTGGTAAATGACCACTGGAAATCATTACAATGAAAACAACAACAATAACAAAGGCTTTTCCATGCGCTTAACATTAAAGGAAGGGGTAAATCCCCCTTTCCTCCTGTCACTTTTCTTCAAAGAACAAGGAAATGCTAAGTATGGCCTTCTGGCAGATAGTTTATAAAGCAAGGAGTCAGGTATTTTACTAATTCCCATTTCTAGCTTTCTCCCCAGTTTGCTCCAATCTATTTCTCTGGCTACAGTTTCCCTCTCATGTGTAAAAGGGGAACTTGGAGGAGCTGAACTCCAAGATCCTTTTATTCTTTATCTCTGTGTCTTAGTGATAATGTTCTTATTTAAGTGTAGTTCAATTATGGATCTGACCTTGGCTTTTCCTAAGAACGTAGGATTTTAAATTGGCTCTTAAGAAACAACATAGTATAACCACCTTAATTTAAAAGAAAAAAGAAAAGGCTCAAAGAAGATTAGTTGGTTTACATTAAGTAGCTAGAGTTTATGGCAAAAATCCACTTCTGGATTCCATGATGGTGGCTTTTCGCTATTAAAGGATTTAATGATTACAAATACTTATTTTACTTTTTTCTCTTAGGCAATAATAGTTACTAAAATAGATATACCTTCTGAATTCCTTTGAGAATGATTTAATGATGTTTAAATTTGTAGATACAATATGATATTCAGTGTATTTGTACCAGACAAGTTGGAAATGACAACCTTGCCTATTACTACATATTTAAATATTATGTGTCCTTCATATGGCCCAGAGTTTGTAAAATAGTGATACTCTAATCACTAAAGACCTGAGATGTGACTGGATGTGGTGGCTCATGCCTATAATCTCAATGCTTTGGGAGGCTGAGGCAAGAGGATCACTTCAGTCCAGGAGTTTCAGGCCAGTCTGAACAATATAACTAATCCTGTGTCTATCCAAAAAAAAAAAAAAAGGAAGAAGAAGAAGAAAATTAGCTAGGCATGGTGGCATATACCTGTATTCCCAGCTGCTTGGGAGGCTGAGGTGTGAGGCTCCCTTGAGCCTGGGAGGTCGAGGTTGCAGTGAACTGTGATGGTGCCACTTGTACTCCAGCCTGTGCAACAGAGCAAGACCCTGTATTGGGAAAACAAACAAACAAACAAACAAACATGAGATCAGAAAAGTCTTAATGATTTGACATATAGGGAAATGAAAACAATGTACTGTACACATTGCTGCCATCATGCTAATTAGAAAATAAAAGTACAGTTTATTCAAATAGTACATTGAATGGTGTAAATAGAGCAATGTAAGCAGTACTTAGCCACTGTCATAACTTCTCAGGAGTAACTATGTCCTCAGCTCTCAGAACATCATAGTTGTCAGGGACAACATAGTTCCTATTTTGATTTCAACTGATATTAACTCAAGCAGTTTCAACTGCATTCTAGTATTTGATTTTGAGATTAATATACTCTCTACCTGTTTAAAATTGTTTATTTAACAGATTGATTGCTGACCACTACCAACATGTGACTTTCAGAGTTCTGATTAGCTCTCTGTTTATTTATACAAGTGCATAACCTTTTACATAACCATTTCCACATGATCACACAGATTACCAAAGGGAGAAAGTTCTGATAGAAAAATTACATGAGCTTTATTAGTAACTGGGTCTGTAAGTTTAGACAAGTTAACCTCTCTAAACTTTAGTGTCTGCTTCCACAGGATATTATGGCTTTCCTCCTTGAGTTACCATGACCTTTAAAGGAGGAAGCAAAAACATAAGAAATCCACTATAGGCTGGGCGCAGTGGCTCACACCTGTAATCCCAGCACTTTGGGTGACTGAGGTAGATGAATCATGAGGTCAGGAGTTTGAGACCAGACTGATCAACATGGTGAAACCCCATGTCAACTAAAAATACAAAAATTTGCCAGGCATAGTGATGCGTGCCTATAATCCCAGCTACTCAGGAGGCTGTGGCTGGAGAATCGCTTGAACCCGGAAGGCGGAGGTTGTGGTAAACTGAGATCGCACCATTGCACTCCAGCCTGGGCAACAGAGTGAGACTCCAAGAAAAGAAGAAAAGAAAAGAAAAAAGAAAAGAAAAGAAAGAAAAGAAAAGAGAAAGAAAGAAGGAAAGAAAGAAAGAAAGAAAGAAAGGAAGGAAGGAAGGAAGGAAGGAAGGAAGGAAGGAAGGAAGGAAGGAAGGAAAGAAAAGAAAAGAAAAGAAAAGAAAAGAAAAGAAAAGAAAAGAAAAGAAAAGAAAGAGAAAAAGAAAAGAAAGAAAGATGGAAAGAAAAAGAGAGAAAGAAGGAAAGAAAGAAAGATGGAAAGAAAAAGAGAGAAAGAAGGAAAGAAAGAAGGAAAGAAGGAAAGAAGAAGGAAAGAAAGAAAGAAAGAAAAGAAATCCACTATAATATAGGGTATTATAGAATATGTTTCCAGTAAACATTAGGTATTTTTATTTTTCAATACTTATTTTGAATATAGGATCATTAAAATTTATGTATTAAAATCTACACATCCAACTTCATTTGAAAAGAATTATTTTTTATTAAACTATTATTTATGTGGTAGACATTAAGTTGGATACTGGGATTGTAGAGAGGGCTCAGCAGTAACTGAGATGGAATAATATTGTCATCAGGAGAGGAGAGCTAGGTGTTTAACAAATAACTACAAATAATGTGCTATTTCAAAAGGGCAGTGCCGCTAAATATGGAGCTGGATCCTTGCTTATAGAAAATATTACTAAGAAGAGGAACACTAACATTAAATGAGGATGGAAAGAACTAATTAATCTGGTTTTGGAAATGCGTTTGTAAGTTCCATGGGATATATACATATGTAAGCAATTACAAATGTGCATTTGAAGCCCAAAATGGATACTTTGTCTAGAGATCTAAATCTAGGTGTTAGTGGCATGCCATTACACTATGGCATAGAATTCATACTAAGAAAGTAGAATGGAACAGGTGAAGCCCTTAGATTAAGAAGAGAGGGGTATCAGGGATAACGGAGTCTAGGGAAGAGTGTTAAAAAAAACAAACAATATTTTCTGCTCATTTGTTAGGAAAAGGAAACTTCAGGGGAGAGGATAGAAGAGTAAAAGGAAAATCAGAAGCATATGAAATCACAGAATTCAAGAGAAGTGTTCCAAAGGGAGCTATCCACATTGAAAGATCTTGCCAGGTAAAGAAAGGAGACTATTAAATAGAACCTATTGGATTTAGAAATATGGGGCCATTGGGAATATAGCGAGAGAGGTTTCAGAAGACCAGTGGACTCACACTCCAGCGGAGTGTGTGGAGAAATGAGATCAGGCTATTAGGACAGTTAAAGACAATATTTTCAGGACCTATAGCCAAGGAGTAGGAGCGAGATGGGATCTGTATTTAGAGGAGAAGCAGCTAAATGGGGCTTGTTCTTATAGGCTGTGGTTTAGTATTTGATAGGCTTGTAATTTCATAAGCATAGAACTTGAAAAGAGGGTTAAACTTAAGAAACAGGAAAGGAGAAATTATGAAGATATTTAGTAAGTTTCTACTTATCCTTTTAAATATTATATCCTATTTTAGAGCATATAGAATCCACTCAACTGACATAAAAGAATGCTGAAAATTGTAACACTTTTACTACATGATTTGAGTGCTGTTGTAACCATTTTGGACATAGAACCCTACAAAGTAAACTCTACAATATGAACCAAAAAGCCCTGCTTCCTCAAGATGTTCTACAATTAAAGTTCTGTGATCAAATCTGTTTGGTGTATATGCATACAATAACAAGTTGGAAATTTTCAACCGATATTAATACTCAAAGATTCTGAAAACCCAGTAGAAACAAAACGTGGCATTTTTAACTTAGCATTTCTCAGCATTTCTAGCTACACTATATAGCCTTCCTTCCTCTGGATTTATTTTCATGATCTTTGGAAATATGATGCTAGGGTTCGGAATGAGTTCCACAAAGTTCTAAGACCACCTGGGATCCCTCATATTAATGATGAAGGTTTGAGTAATCTGTAGGGAAAATATATATTTTATTTTCTATACAATGTATTCCCAAAGTTACACAATCTTAAGAGAATGACAACGGGCTGACAGGTGCAGCAAACCACGAATACACGTATATACCTATGTAACAAACCGGCACATTCTGCACATGTATCCCAGAACTTAAAGTAAAATAAAAATTGAATAAATAAAAAATATTCTTTTAAAAAGAGAGAGACAGAGAGAGAGAATGAGCCATTCCAGGACCACCATAATTCCCAAGCTTTTCCAAATACCTCATGGGAAATAAAACTTCTTTGGGATGCCACTCCAATTCACAGGGTGATATTTGAAAAGTGTGGCAGAAAGGGTGATCAAAGAAGGCTTTATTGAGGAGGTGGTACTGGGAAGAGACTTGAGTGAAAAAGGAAGTAAACCGCAGAAAGGACATGGAGGGAACAACCCCTATGAGCTGAAATGGGGGCTTCGTGAATTCAAGGAGCAGCAAGTTGTTAGGCGCATCTTGAATCTCAGGGGCAGGGAGAGAAAGGGAGAAAGAGGGAGGGAAATAGGGGGTCAAAACACGTACAGCTTTGTGAGTCACAGTAAGGGATAAAGGATTTGGGTTTTATTTTCAGTTTTGAGTTTGGTGAGAAATTACTAGAGTTTTTAAAATATGGCAATAAAATAGTAGACGTTAATTGTTCAATCAGTTAGGCTACTATAAGGAAGGTAACTTTTCATATTATCTATACATTTTGGTGTTATATATTTTTAAAAAAATCACATTTGATGAGTAGGCTCAATCTCTTAAAAACATTAAAGAATTTTAAATTTAAAAAATTTTTTTACTTCTAAAAATTTAAAGTTTTTAATTCTTTAAATTACATTAGCTTTTCAATAATCACAGAAAAACATCAATAACTGAAATATACTATGTTCAATAAAGTATTATTTATAGTTAAAAAAAAATAACAACTGTGTATTGCCAGAGATTCTTAAGAACAGTTACGCCACCTTGAAGCTTTTAAAAAATATCTTTGCAGGGCCTGACATGCAGAGATTCTGATTCATTTTGTTTGGGTGACAGTTTTGCTATCAGTATATTTAAGGGTACCCCATATGCTTATAATGTGCAGCCTGGATTGAAAATTATCACTATGGGCTCCACCTATGCATGCACAAATTTAAAAAGTAAAAGGTCTAGAGACACAAAAACCGACCAGATAGGATAATTTGCCTTTGTGGGAGGTTATAGGACTGAAGTGGTCAAGGAAGACTTTGTAACATCTAAGTGTCTAAAGTAAAACTATATTCATGATACCTCTACAAATAAAGTCTATTTAAATGATAAATGGAATATTTTTAAAGAAATGAAACAGTATATTTATTTGGTTTATAGAGATATGCTGACAAGATGTATAACTTTTTCTCCTTAGGGATAAAACTGTGTAGTGGTTGTTTCATTGCATCATTCATTCTAAATAGCACTTTAATAGTGGAAGGAACAAATAGGATGATGCTAGCAAAAGTGACCAGAGCATATTTCGCTGGACTTGCAGTTCTTTCACATCCATTTAATAGAGAAATGAGGTTGTAAAAATCTATCCTGTGTCGATGCTAGAAAATCAGGTGGAGCGTTGATTTGGCCATTTGTTGACAAAAAAAGCCAAACTTCGCAAAATACTGGAAGAGATTTATTTTTGAGCCAAATGTGAGTACCATGGCCCATGGCACAGCTTCAGAAGGACCTGAGAACATATGCCCAAAGTAGTTATTACTTGATTTTATACATTCTATGGGGACAAAAGTTACAGGAAGATATCAGTCAATACATGCAAGGTCCAGAAACGCAACGCAGGACAACTTGAAGCAGGACCTTCCAGTCATACATTTTCAACATTTTGTTGAAATTCAAACATTTTCAAACATTTTCTGATTGCTAATTGGTTGAAAGAGTTAAGTTATTGTATAAAGGCCTAGAATGAATAGAAAGGAGTCTCTGGGTTAAGATAAGAGGCTGTGGAGACCAAGGTTCTTATTATGTAGATAAAGTCTCATATTGCACCCTTGGAGGCAATAGATGGCAAGTATTTCCTATTTTCACCTTTAAAAAGTGCTAGACTCTCAGCTAATCTCAGCATGATCAGAAAAGGACTTGAAAAGGGAAGGGGATTCTTTACACAATGTAAATTTCCCCCACAAAAGACAGGTTTTCAGGGCCATTTCAATATATGTCAAAAAATACATATTTGGGGATAAAATAATTTCTTTCAGTGCCTACTCTATACTAGAGTCAGGTTGGAATTTGGAATCTTATTGCTCTAGTCTGTTTTTATCAGTCCTAAGATCTCTGGTGTTTTTTTTTTATTTGTTTGTTTGTTTTTGTATTTTTAGTAGAGATGGGGTTTCACCATGTTGGGCAGGATGGTCTCGATCTCTTGACCTGGTGATCCGCCCAGCTCAGCTTCTCAAAGTGCTGGGATTACAAGTGTGAGCCACTGGCTAAAATCTCTGTTTTAATGTTAATGCTGGTGAGTTGTGTCTGAATTCCAAAGGGAGGAGAGCATAATGAGGCATGTCTGACCCCACCCTTCCTATCATGGCCTGAACTAGTTTTTCAGGTTTACTTTGGAATTCCCTTGGCCTAGAGGGATTTCTATTGGTTGGGGGCTTAGAATTCTGTTGCTTGAGGGACTTAGAAACTTGTTTTTGATTTACACATTGAATACTTGAACCAGTGATCATCTGATCATTTTAGTTTTTAACAATAAAATCTGATTGTGAAGAAAGACGGATTAAGTTTTTTTTGTTTTGTTTTGTTTTGTTTTTGCCTTAACAGTGTCTATCTTTTAAGCTAGTGACATGCCCTTATTTTTTGTACAAAGAGCAAATTTTTGATAAAATAGTAGAAAAAACTGTAGCCAATTCAAAACAATAATAAGCTGAATTGTATCAGAAAAGCAGCAAGTTCTTATTGAACATACTTCATTGGTAGTGTCAGAGGCATTTGAACTAGAGCAACTTCATCTTAAATAGGAGCTGAGGAAAATGAGACTGAGACCCACTGGGCTGCATTCCCAGAGAGTTAAGACATTCTAAGTTACAGGGTGAGATGGGAGGTCAGTACAAGATACAAATTGTAACAACTTTGCTGATAAACAGGTTGCAGTAAAGAAGCTGGCTCAAACCTGTCAAAACCAAGAGAGCCATGAGAGTGACCTCTGCTCATTCTCACTGCTATACTCCTACCAGCACCATGACAGTTTACAAAGGCCATGAACATCAGGAAATTACCCTATATGCTCTAACAAGGGGAGGCATGAACAATCCACCCCCTGTTTGGCATAACATCAAGAAATAGCCATAAAAATGAGCAACCGGCAGCCCTCAGGGCTGCTCTGTATATGGAGTCGCCATTCTTTTACTCCTTTGCTTCCTGAATAAGCTCGCGTTCACTTTACTCTCTGGATTTGCCCTGAATTCTTTCTTGTGTGAGATCCAAGAATCATCTCTTGGGATCTGGAACGGGACCCCTTTCCTTTAACAGTAACAGCCTGACACGGCACAAAATGTGCTTGCGTTTTACTCCTCTTCTGATGCTTATGGTTTTTACTGGTTTACTGGTTTCTAAAACTCAGAGTTTCAGATTCCTCACATGTAAAATGGGGAGAATAAAGTGTCTATCTCACAGTGGTGAGGATTATGTGAGATAGTATATGTGCAGTTTTGTAAATTGTAATAATATGCACTAGAAGGATTCTGAGCTGAAAAGGATATTGGATTTGGAAGCTGACAAGGTTGAGCTCAGATTTCTCCATTTACCTGGACTATTACCACAATCAATTTAATTATTCTCAAACTCAAACTCTTTAAAAAAAATTTGTCATAAAGCTGTTTTGATTATTAGTTTAAATAAATTGCAGACTTTAGTATTTACTCAATAAACTTCTATTTCCGCCTTCCCTGGTAACCTCCAAATCTCATCCCAACAGGACTAAGACCATAATTCCTTGCTTTGCATAAAAAATTCTCACCTCTGGCCTACTGATTCATTCCAAAGGCATGCAATCAACAGTACCTACAGGGATGTTCCAAAATATTATGTGGACCTAAATGTTTGACATTCTTTCTTTATATGATTATGAAGGGGTACCGATGACAAAAAAATACTATATACTAATTTTTTGAAAAAATACAATTTTAGAATAATGAATTTATTTCCCATGTTTACTTTTTTTTTTTTTTTTTTTTTGACAGGGTCTGGTTCTGTCACCTAGGCTGGAGTGCAGTGGTGCAATCTCTGCTCACTGCAACCTCTGCCTCCCAGAATCAAGCAATTCTCCCACCTTAGCCTCCCAAGTAGCTGAGACTACAGACAAGCACTATCATCCCTAATTTTTTTGTAAAGAAGAATTTTGCCATGTTGCCTAGGCTGGTCTCAAACTCCTGGATTTAAGTGACCCACCCACCTGAGCCTCCCAAAGTGCTGGGATTATAGGCATGAGCCACCATGTCCAGCCTACTCTAATTTTTATTTTTATTTTTCTAGAAAAATTCATGGCAAATGATTAAAAAAAGAAAATACCAGATTAGATCAGGTTAATTTTTCTTTTACCTTAGTATAACCTGTAGACCTTCTATAAACTCAATATGAGTATGGCAAACTATTATTATCATTCTTGATATCATATTCAGAAGTCAGCGATAAATTCCAAAATATGCTAATGGCTTCACATAATATTTTATAGTTTTTGCAAGGAGAACTCTTTTGGACATCACTCAGCCATGAGAAACTTTAGTTCTATTTATCTCAATATAGTTTGAAAAGATGTTTGGTGGAATTATTAGCTAAAGGAATAAGATTAAAATCATCTCATTAAAATATTCTATTAGAAAAACAGAACATGTGATTCCAAATAATCCATTCTTATTCTAACTAAAACACTGTTCTAGGAGGACCAACGACAACTTTATGCAATGGCAAGTTCCCTGGAAGATGGTGGCATGACGCCTCAACTGGCTGAGGTAATAAAACGACTGTGGAGAGATCCAGGGATTCAGGCCTGCTTTGAAAGGGCATCTGAGTATCAGCTCAATGACTCGGCAGCTTAGTAAGTGAATTCACTTTAAGGGGAATTGGAGGCAAAACATTTAAAATTAAGAATTATAATTCTACTTGCTTTGTATTTGTAAATGCAAATGAGGAAAGTAAATGGTGTTACATTTTATTATAGTAAAATAAAAAGGAATTGAAGAGAAATAAAAATGAACAAGGTGACATAATGAGATGTAAAAATATATAACCAGGGGAACATTTTAAATAACTAAGTTTGAAACTCTGCCTGAGAAGATACATATGTTGCAAATATCTTCTCTTGATTTAAAAAGACTTCACCATTATGCATAGCATTCCACATTAACACAGACTGGTGACGTGTACACTGAGGTTTCGGGCTATTCACTTCATCTCTATTCATATTAGTGAAATCATCTCCTAGATTAATTTTATTAATGACACATGCCTTGGCTCATTGGGTTGATGACCATGATACAAAATTCTAGAAGAAATTAATGAATTAATTTCTAAAACACTTGTATACCAGGGGATTCATTTGGAGTCTGAAAAAATTGTATAAATTTCACTGCTTATATCACCCATTAGCTCTAATTAACCATAAAGAAATTAGGAGCTTGTGACACTATTTATAATTTCATTGTCAAAGTGATATAAAATTTTCTTTTAGTGTGAGGCACAGAGGCTCATGCCCATAATCCCAGCACTTTGGGAGGCCAGGGCAGGCAGATTGCTTGAGCTCAAGAATTTGAGAACAGCCTGGGCAAAGCCAAGTTGCCACGAAAAAATACAAAAATTAGCAAGCTATGGTGGCACTTGCCTGTTGTCCCAGCTACTTGGGAAGCTGAGATGGAGAATTGCTTGAGCCCAGGAGGTCAAGGCTGCAGTGAGCAGAGATCGCACCACTGCACTCCAGCTGCGCCAACAGAGCAAGATCCTGTCACCAAAAAAAAAAACAAAAAACAAAAAACCCACCAAAAACAATTCTTTTAGCAAGTGGTTCCTAACATAGCCTGCCACTATATGCCTGCAAGATGTGTGCATATATGAAACAATCTAATTACTTATTTTCTATTTCTGTTCATACATGTGTGAAAAAGTGTAAATATAGTTCTTTTGATGAATCATCCCCCCAACAGAACCTGCTAGCATTATTTAATTAAACAAAAACAAAACAGTAACATAAAAGTGAAGCAAATGGAAAAGATCAGTTAAGGACAGAACAACGAAGCTTGCATGACCCTTCAGATTTTTAATCACTGATGGACAAAATGATTATGGAGAGAAAATAAGCTATATAAATTCTAGGGGAAAAATCTTCTGTAATTATTCATTCATCTTTATTTTAGACCTCAATTTCAAAGGGCACATTGCTTTTGGAGGAAAGAGTTGCTCCTAGCTCTCTGATGAAGGAGAGAATGAGGCTTGTTTTGTGATTGTATTAAGTTGAATAACTTTTCATAAGTGTCTCAGCACCTACCACATTTTAATAGTAAAAGGGGTCTCTGAAGTGTAGTAAAACATTGCTTTTCTGTACTATTCATTGGTAAGTGAAGTCACAATGAGTAATAAGCTGAATTGTGGAATATTCCCATAAAATCTTGCTTAGTAAAGCTCTGGGGAGAGAGCCAGAGAGAAAGATAGATTAAAGTGGGCGCTCATTAATATATTTAGTCTTGTACAAACCACATAGTAAAAATGGGCAAATAAGTGACAGTTTATTGTACTTTCTAGTCTTTAATTTTAGCTTTTCCCTTAATTTAAATACTTAAAGTATGTTTCATACCAGGAGTAGCTACTCCCTCATAGAGCCATTGCAAATTTTTAAAATCTGTTCTTCAAGTTAAAAACAATTAAACACTATCAATTTGCATTTATTTTGGAAATGTTGCCCATATTGTAATAGTTTTTGACTACCCAGATCATTGCAGGTGCAATATAATAACAGAAAAGCTGATTTTCCCTGTGTCTCAGAGAAATTTCATACATAAACCTAAATAAATAAATAATTAAATAAAGTGTTAATTTTTTTTCTGCTCTTAGGTGTCTTTAAAAGGAAAGCTTGCTGAGAAAGGTAGCTGAATGGTCATTGCTTTCTTCCAGAAATTAAGAGCAGAATTTTTTTTTTTCAAACACTGAATTACATTGTAAAACAATACATAAAATGAGATTGGTACTACAATATGTGTCTATTTCATATACCTTATATAGAGCAAGGTCTCTAACACTTTTTTATTTTTTTATTTTTTTGGTGACAGTAAGATATTTCTTGCTTTCTCAAATCTAGAGAGCCTTCAAGTTAAGACTAACAAAAAGTGAATATAATCAGAATAAGGGGAAAGAATATCATAGTTGGCAACATAACAACCTCATCAGTTCTAGCAAAGTGAAAGAAGAGGGGTATGGCAGGGACAATCAGAGAAAACATTTTAGTTGACTGTTAACTAATTGCAGCCATCTAGTGTGCTTTTAAATTCCACCTGCTTTAAGAATTACCATGGACTTCACCAGGAAAAATACTAGTTTAAATGACTGGAAAAGAACTGAGTACTTTTAAATGATTAGAGTCGTATATATTAAGGGTCTCTATTTGGTCTAAGCTTTAGATCATAAGCTTTAACACCTACTTCTTTGTTTATTTAAACAAGCATTTCAAATGCAAATTTGTCAGTTTGCTAATACTTCTGCTTTGCTTGAAATCATTTATACATGCAAATAAATGTGTCCTTACCAAGGTTTCACTTAGCTATCATGAAATGAATTTAATCTTTATTTTGGCAGGTATGCTTTTGTTTTTTTTTTGTTGTTTTCTTTTTACTCTTGCATGAACTAACCAACAATGTACCTACCACATACGTAGGCTTAGTTAATAAAAATTTTGCAAAGGGATTTGCTTGCCAAAATAGAAAATAAATACATTAGCAAATTCTGGCAGGACTTTTTCCAATACATTTACATCTTGATGTGTCATTCTTTTTTTAAAAAGAAAACTTAAACTTTTTTAGACTAAAACAATAGTGATACATTTTCATATTATATATGTTATGTGTTCCTTGAGGTGTGATTTTACTTTTGGCTGAAATCCATTTGGGACCCTTGTCTACTCTTAATTTGTTTCAGCTTAAAAGGAAAAAGACCCTCCAAAAATAAATTACCTATATTAACAATGAATTTTTTTTAATAAATTTTTGTTTTTTAAAATCTTTGTGCTAGGTGCTAAGGCATAACAGCTTCTCAACTTAATCATTGAACAAACAATTTTTAACACTGACAAACATTTAGCTGGATTCTACCTCACAAATTCTGCCTCGATGGAAGCACTCCAGTCTTATCTTTCTATAAGGCGATTCAGTGTAATGGTGAAATTCATCATAAAAGCATTTCCATGCTCTTACTATTTGTATTTAAAATTTTTACAGAAATAGTGATATTGCTAAACCACTAAAGCCTTAGTATCACAAGTCTAGACCAGTGGTTTTCAAATTATTTTTACAGCAATAAAATACTTTGTTTTAGTATAAGGACACCTGGTTTCAAGGATTAGGAAGCTGAAAGCAGGTGTTTTTTTCCTCTAATTTAACAGACTAATGAACAGTTATAGCATACACAGTTTAATTAGACTTATTCCTGTTCATCACCACACCTAGATCCTGTGACAAGAAAAAACACAACATTCAGCCTGATAATACTAGGAATTTCTAACATAGCTTTCTGGAAGGGGTAAAGATACAACCATGCACTGATGGAAGAGGAGGTGGGAGTGGGGACAGGGGGTGAGTTCAGCCTTCTCTCTCCACGAGAGCCAGGTCAGGGTGGGTCTGCAAATTCATGAGTCACTTCCAGCATAGACCAAGAAGAGAGACAAACTGTACTTCTCTTATTGTTTTAACTAGATGTTGCAACAGCATTTAATGGAAATGGCTGAGTCCTGATGAGGCAAATGCATGCAAAAATAACAAGCAACCTTCAAATAAGGACATTAAAACCAATCACTCTCATAAAACCCAAATGCCTAAATTCAAACTATAGAATTTTGAGGATAATCTAGCAACTAGCACTATAAAGCAGCTTTTAGTTTTGTAATGATCCAGGCCCTACAAAGAAATTTTATTTCATACTCCTATCCATATGCAGGCAAATGTATCACATAAACCTTATAAAATACAGTTGAAGCCAGTGTTGATTTAGGTGCCTTTAGGGGAGGACACTGGGGGTTCAGCTGTGTGTCGCATTCAGCCCTCTGCAGTTCTGGAGCATTCCAGCTACCCAACTTTTGTTTTGTTTTGTTTTGTTTTTAAGACAGGGTTTCACCATGTTGGTCAGGCTGGTCCTGAACTCCCGACCTCAGGTGATCCAGCCACCTTGGCCTCCAAAGTGCTTGGATGACAGGCGTGAGCCACCACGGCTGGCAACCCAACTTTTAATTCTGATGAGCAGAGTTTGGAAAGCACCAGTCTAGAATTTATCATTTTTAGTAAACCTACACTAAAAATTCATTTGTACTGAATCCTGGTCTCTTCAAATGCAAAGTTTACACACACACACACACACACACACACACACACACACACACACATATTATATACACATATATAATTTTGTTTTGTCTTTGTTAGCTACCTTAATGATTTGGATAGAATAACAGCATCTGGGTATGTGCCAAATGAACAAGATGTTCTTCATTCTCGAGTGAAAACGACTGGAATCATTGAAACTCAATTCTCCTTTAAAGACTTGCATTTCAGGTATGATCAAATGTCTTTTCTAACTGTGGACAGAAGTATGCATCAGCCTCACTATTTCCTCGTGGAGAAAAGCTCTAGCCCATGTTCAGGTTCAATAATCCTTGGATGTACTCGCTAGCTCTTGTTTACCTTCAGAACCACTGTCCTTTACTGCCCTCCTATAGCCTCTCACCCCACCTCTCATCTTGAGCCTCATCCCTCCTTCCAGGCTAAAATGCTTATGGCTTGAGCAGGTGGGGTTAGATTTTACTTTCTTCATTTTTAAATCTGTCACTGTACTTTGCAGAAAAAAAAAAAAAGAAGAAAATATATTTAAATAACATACAAGAAATGGGTGCCAGGAATCCTATTTCCTTTGACTTTCTATTTTCCTATTTGCTTGAAATATTCCTGTTACATCTGTTTTCCTAATTTTAAAAAATGCAAATTACTAAGAGAATTATTTGAATATGATGCTATTTACTGCAACAACAAAGCATATTTTATAGCCATGTTTTGAGTATGAAAGCAAATCATTATTTTCATTGCTGTTACATTATCAAGAGCTTCCTAGAAATTCTACTGCAAAATCACTCATTTACTATACCAAAAAAATGGAAACCCATACTATAATGTTATAAAATATCCATTAATATTTAAATACTTTTTGTATGGATTGTGGACAATATGGAATATTAAACATTAATAGCAGGTTCTAGCTGTGTTGTTTAGTAATAAAAAAATAAAAATATAACTAAGAAGATTATTTATTCATCCAATAATGAGGATAATCTTAAAGAATAAAAGACTGGAGATAAAGTGGCATGAATTATTCATATCCACTTGTGAGAAAAAGGTAAGAAAATGGTAATTAATCAGCTGGGTTCGGTGCCTCATGCCTATAATCCCAGCACTTTGGGAGGCTGAGGCGGGCAGATCACGAAGTCAAGAGATTGAGACCATCCTGGCCAACATGGTAAAACCCCGTCTCTACTAAAAAATATAAAAATCAGCTGGGTGTGGTGGCATGCACCTGTAGTCCCAGCTATTAGAGAGGCTAAGGCAGGAGAATTGCTTTAACCCAGAAGGTGGAGGTTGCAGTGAGCCGAGACAGAGCCACTGTACTCCAGCCTGGTGCCTGGCGACAGAGCAAGACTCTGTCTCAAAAAAAAAAAAAAAAAAAAAAAAAAAAAAAAAAAGAAAAGAAAATGGTAATTTACATCATAAATTTATTTTGGTGAGATAAAAGCCTCAAACTTTTGAAAGTATGTGTTATATCTAAGTCAAAATATATTTTCAACTAATATGAAAAAAAAAACTCTTCAAAATTCACACCTAAATTTTAGGCCCACAAATAGTTAATTTTCTGAAAGATGAGCCAAAGATTAAACCAGGGTAAAGGGACTGTACAGATTGGGATCAACATCCTCTCTTGGCAAGTGTAGGAGAAGTTTGTCATCAGTCCTGGTTTCACTATTGTATAGTTCTTTTTGGCAACTTCTTTCTTCAGACTCCTCATCTTTGATCCAGTTTCTGGGTTTTCCTTTGGGACCCTGAGTCCAGCTGTTTCTCCTCCTCTGCCCCTCCCACCCCAGTGAAAGCATTTTTGACACTGTCCCTTTTCTGTCCGACTCTCCTTTCTCTTCTCGAAATGTCTCACTGAAACAGACTAGAACTGAACGTGGGCCTTGAGGCTGCCCAGACCAAAGTTCCAATTCTGGGCTGTCTAATAATTAGCAGTAGGAGTTAAGAAACACAGGTAACCTTTTCTTTACTTGCCTAATAAGTTTGTTGTAAAGATTAGATGAAGTAAAGTCCTAAGCAGAGAGTTATAATTTGATGTAGCTTACCTTACATAAGCAAGTAGAACTCTCTGGGTCCTAGATTGTCTGGACCAAAAGCCAGTTTTGACAATTAATGTTACCTGTTGAATACCTAAAAGCTCAAGATCCCAGTCACTCCCTACAACACCAACCAATTTGGTATTGTCTCAAAAATTATGACTCTCAAAAATTATTGTTTATATATCAGTTCTTTAACATTTCAAGTCTTTGCATTTGCTAGTTTATTTGCCTAAAGTGCTCTGCCCCTGAATCTGCAAGAAACTTCTCCTCTTATCACTAAGTTCTCATACCAAATGTGTCTCCTCATGGAGGCGCAACCGTCTTATCTATGTACCATCCAGGCTTATCCCTGTCACATACACCCTGCAGCATGCTGGTAAATGTTTAACAGCAGGCTTTCTAGGGCAGTAAGGCAATGGAGGGCTGGCTGACTTGTAGCCCTGGATGATTTTTCTGGTGCAGATAACCCCACTACAGCCAATTTCAGTCAACAAAGGAGACATCACTAAATGCAGAGTTGAGGAGAAATGCAAATAAATAGCCCTCATTAGCCAAGCCAGGGTGATCCATCTCCACTGCAACATTGATGCATCACACTGCTTAATTACTAATATATGAGATTGCCTTGCTTCTTTATTAGTATGCTCTTTTTGTTTCTGTTTCTATCTCATATGCCCCTGAGCTCCTGGAGGCCAGGGGCCATGTCTGTTTATAGCCCCACGTCAGTGCTTATCACAGTGGCTAGCAGAGTAAGAAAGCAGGTAATTTTGGCTGAATGAGTAAATGCACTCTGCCAGGCACTCTGCATACACAGTCTTTACACTTGCACAGCAGCATCATGAGCTGAGTATTGCTATCCATACTCAGGATAAGCAATCTTGGTTATCCTGAAGCTAACTGGATAGCCTCAGAAACTGAGATGAAAGCTTTCCCCCACGGTCTTTCACAGACACGCTGGGGATGGAATTAAAGCGCACATCTTTCTGTCTTCAAAGACCACACTCCTTACACTGTATGGCACTAAGGGTTGTTAGATAAATTGGGATGAAAACCATTTTTTTTCTGTAGAGTGTGTGTGTTTTTTTTATGTTGTTGGTCATTTATAATCCCTTTCAGAGAGAAGGCCGGAGGGTTAAAGACAGCCTTTTGGGGAAATACCTTTAAGTGGGAGGATCCTGTGGTCCCTTATAAGTCAGTGCTTTTAAAACCAGGGTACAAGACAACTGCCAATAAATGCACAAACCCTCAGAAAATCATGGTCATTTTATGGAACATCTATTTCACTCTGAACCAAGTAGTATAAACTATCGTAAAGCTTTGAAACTTAAATTATGAGTATGTAATGGTTAATACTATCAACTTATTGGCCTGAAGGATACAAAGTACTGATCCTGGGTGTGTCTGTGAGGACGTAAGCAAAGGAGATTAACATTTGAGTCAGTGGGCTGAGAAAGGCAGACCCAGCCTTAATCTGGGTGGTGTGATCTAATCAGCTGCCAGCACAGCTAGAACATAAGCAAGCAGCAAAGAGAAACTGGCCTAGGCTCCCAGCCTACATCTTTCTCCTGCCTCAGCGCCCCTCAACTGGCACTGCCATCACCTTAGCCGCCCACCCAGAGATAGAAAGATGTAGGCTGGGAGGCTAGGCCAGTTTCTCATTTTACATTTTTCTGCTTGCTTATATTCTAGCTGCACTTGCAGCTGATTAGATCATGCCCACCCTAACTCAGGGTGGGGCTGCCTTTCCCAGTCCACTGACTCAAATGTTAATCTCCTTTGGGGACACCCTCACAGACACACCCAGGAACAATACTTTGTATCCTTCAGTCCAATCTAGTTGACACTCGGTATTAACCATCACAGAGTAGAATATAACATTTGCCTTAATTTTTTAAATAAAATATTATTTTAAAATACATTTTTCTTACAATAGGACTCCAGATTAAGCGTCCAGACCCCCTTCAGTACATAGGCATTTTCCTCTGTCCCTTTGTAGTTTTGTGGTTGATTTTGTGAAGCACTACTTAAGTCATATAAGAAGGTGATCTATCCTGCCTTCACATATTGTTGATCCTTATGAAGCAATGAGGAAAGTTTTGCTAATTCTCTATTACAGTATCAGTGCTAAAATGTAAGGGGTTTGTGAATTGGATTGTGAAGCCCAGCTAGAAATTATTTTGATATAACTTTCTCTTGGCCTGGCACTGTAGCTCACACCTGTAATCCCAGCACTTTGAGAGGCTAAGGAGGGTGGATCACTTGAAGTCAGGAGTTCAGACCAGCCTGGCCAGCATGGTGAAACCCCATCTCTACTAAAAATACAAAAATTAGCCAGGCATGGTGGCATGCCCCAGTAATCCCAGTTACACAGGGGGCTGAGGCAGGAGAATCACTCGAACCCAAAAGGCAGAGGTTGTAGTGAGCCAAGTTTGCGCCACTGCACTCCAGCCTAGGTGACAGAGCAAGACTCCGTCTTGAAAAAAGAAAAGAACATTCTCTTTACTGTGTAACTACCACGTCCTTGCTGTATACCAAAACAGGTTTCAAGCTTTTTTGTTTTCTTAAGAGCCTTTGCTTTTCCTCTGACTCAAGACAATGTTATTAAAGGCATTTTCAATGAGGAAGAGAATGGAAGACACAGTACCTCCTTACTCCAATAGAAGGAATTTTTCTAAAAACAAGTCTATTTAAACAATAAAATTTGGAAAATATTTAAATTTTGTTAAAAAATAGTTTAAAATATATTTTTCTTGAAGAGCAATTTAAAATCATTTAAATGCAGTTTTAAATTTTCCTCCATCCTTTTGTAGTTTCGTGGTTGATTTTGTGAAGCACTATCTTAAGTCTTATAGGAGGGTGATCAATTAAGATATATTAATCCTTTAATAACTTCTCACTGTTAAATAGCTTTTCTTTCATGTGCTAAATAGGATAGGCCAAAAGTGCACAGGGTTTTGGAGTAAGTACGCAATTCTGTAGTATTTCAAAATAGGAAGTATAAAAATAACGTACCTTCCAACTTTATTTCAGCAGGTGCCCAGGTATTAAAATATATTACATTAGCATTGATTTGTATTCACATTGCATAAGTCATCCTATGACTATTTAAAACCAAGGGCTCAATTTACATTTTAAATTAGAGAACTCTAGAATTTTAAATAGAAACACCAAAATGAA